CTAAAGTCACCTGAACGAAACTTACTGAACCATCGTTGACATTTACGAACGTCCAACATATTTTCATAAACTTCTCTGATATTCTTTATGGCCATAGAAGTGTTGTTTACCCTTCTTGTATTCAAACAGCATTACATGCAAAACGTGTGTGCCATCACTATAAGGGATTAGAGTATACTAAACTTTACACATTATGTGGGCTACATATAGGCTAACATAACGCTTAGGCGGTTCGTTTAACTATTATACGTGATGTACGCTTTTTTTTTTGTTGTTTTTTTTTGGGGGGGGGGTTAATGAAAGTGTTCAAAAACGCGACATTAATTTCTTGACGATCTAATATATTTCTATTTAAAAAAACGAAAACTTTGTGTATCAATCTAGTTGGCAAATATCATAAATTGGAGATATATCGGCATTTATTTAACTATTAAATTTGAATTAACATTTAGCTCGATTTTAGACCATTCCAAATTCGCCTGGATGGTGACTGGTAGGTTGCTGCTGACTGGCTACCTTACCTCGGATTAATAGTTCAAAATTAAGACCAGCGGAAGATAGTTTTAGTAACTTTATTATAAATACAAAATAGAAATATAAGTTTGTTTAACCACAAAGCTGCATTATGGGCTATCTGGGATGTACCAATCGAACCCTGGATTTTACCTTTACAAGTCCTCAGACTTACCACTGAACCACTGGGGGGATACATATATATATCAAGTTTGGAAAGTTTATATTCAAGCATGATGTTTCATCATATTTCTCATGCCTAAACAGTTATCTTGCTTCGCTAGCGTACGGGCTTGGCATTTAAACTGACGTAATTATTTTTATAGTCTATTTATTCCAGAAAAAAATAATTGGCATTTATTTTTATTATCACAAACCCAGAATCTCGCAGCTAACATCGTATACCAAAATATGATGGAGCGTTTTTCACTGAGAATAAAGCGAAGCATTGAAGATAGGAATTTGGGAATAAAAAATTAAAATCGAAAGAAATGAAATGACTTTTAAAGCAGAAGCTATTTTTAGGAAACACAAGTAAAGTTTGATTAAGTCGCTATAAAATGCAAATGGAAAAAACATTTTCACCAATCCTATAATTGTTAGAAAAGTAGCTGTCACCTTGAATGTACGTCCAGGAGACATTTGACTGGCATTTTATGCATAATATAATTTACCCAATATTGACTTTTTATCTAATAATGCAAATCTTGCGTGCCAAAGCGTATGTATTTTTTTAAAATTTTCTCACTGAACTCATTTTTGAAATAATAATTGGAAACAAAGAAATAGAAGAAATGATGACATCAGAGAGAGACAGCAGTCGGTTTACTGCATTATGGCAAATGGATTTACAAACCTCGTATAAAGACAGAGAGAAACAAGTCAATGGCGATGTAAAAGAGAAAAAGTTGACGAAGTGACGCAAAAAATACATGTGATGTCACCTAATACCACAATACAGAAAGCACGACTTATATTCAGTATAACTGGTTAATCACTTCCATAACTCAACAAACAGTAATCATAAAATCGAGCTTTTCTCGCGTACGCTATGACTTTGTTGGTGAGTTATAAATTATCTGAATGACTTCAAGGATGTATCATAAAACATAATCAGATCAGCAGAATACATCTTTTATATTTTCACATTGGTGATATGACACGTCAAACTTTTTTGTTTCATTTCTGAAATACTAACTAAAGATATTAGGAAGCGACTCCCTTTTGTGTTGAACAGCAGCGAGTCAATCTCTCCTTACAGTACTCTGAAACCAAAATATCCATATGTATTTCTAATTCAACTCAATGTACAAAACACTATTATAGTTTCTACGAGACACTTTTACGCGTCTTTAAACAACTAATTACATAACTTGACAGATTATAACATTTCTGTTAGAAAACAAAACACCCACTCAAGGCCATTTGTCATGAGTACAGAGTTACGAAATGAGGATTGGATGACTCGTCAGTACACAGTTTCAGTTCTAATACAGTGTCTGTCATGAGCACAGACTACAAACTGAGGATCCGATGACTCGTCAGTACACAGTTTCAGTTCTGATACAGTGTCTGTCATGAGTACAGACTACAAACTCAGGATTCGATGACTCGTCAGTACACAGTTTCAGTTCTAATACAGTGTCTGCTTCTTTTATTGCCATTCGTTATGACACCCGTCTGCCGGAGAGAGTAACGACTTTAGATGAAATTCAAGTCAATAGAGCATAAATCTCACCGTACTCAATGCATGTGATCACTATAAAAACACTAACAAATACATTTTCTGTACTAGATAGATTATAATATGTAATCTAAAATAGTAGTTACAATACTCTATATATATGTAGGTACGTTGACAAGAACGGCTGGATGAGTTTGATCAACGTAGATGTTGGTATGGCAATCGTTTATAGAAGTGTTGGTGAAAATAAATGACTGTAAATTTGTAGTAACTGTACGTTGATGAATGCCTCTCATTTTTATATCTTATTCTAGAAGAAATGTATGCAGATTATTGTCTAAATGAATTAAAATACTTTTATTGAACATTCCAGTTACATCAAGCTTGAATTAATCTTCCTTTGTTCTGTTATTTACCAGTGTAGTACCTATTGGTAAAATCATGAGGCCACATCTAAAGACCCTTAAGTCATGAATTAGGCAAGAATGTACATGTATCATGAAATATGGAAAACTTTCGATTATCGACAGTGTGAATTATTTTCTCTCCCTTATCAATTACTCACTTAACTAATGCACCAAGTTATCTATCTGACGTCAATCCTTATGCCTAACTCGACATAACAAATATAATGTTATTTTCTGTAAACCTGTAAAACTGTTGTTCGTTTATAGAAATAGCTGAATGACTTCCCTTCCTAAAATGAGTTTCCATTTTCACTACTGATCGATGTAGCAGGTGAAGTTTTGTTTGTTACAAGACGATTGTTGAGTAGTTTCTCTGATGAAAATAGCATTCCCAGTTTCTTGGCCCAGATTTCGTTAAGGGATTTTGCAACCAAAGCAAAAAAAATAAATAAAAAAAATATCAGCTTTGTTTACAGCTTAAAATGAAATAAAACATTGTAACCTTATGCATATTCAGTATTACAGGGTCAAGCATGGCGTATCGTAGGAGCTAGAGCTCGATCGTGATGCCGCTGAATACGATCCACACTTTCAGCGGTGGACGCGTTACAAAAGTGGCAGTCATTCCCGTTATTCGGTTGAAAGAACCGGGCAAAGCGGCTACTAGTCAGTAGCTCAAAATTAGAGATGTCTTACCTGAACCCTAGAGTCTCTGACTTAGTCGTTTAAGGTTGTTAATTATAATTCCTCAGTCTTAACCTAAGCTTAGACTACACGTACGAAATTGACCCAAGTTTCAATTTCAGTGTCAAAGGTTTTTCAGACACTTAAAATATTTCAATTTTATTATATAAAATGTGAATATCTAAATATATGTTACTTACGTAAAGAATTTGAAGGAAAAACGCTTATTTTGGAAGTTAACTTGATTATTTTACAGAACAAAACTGACATTCGGGTTATATACTTTGATGAGACAGAAATTTCTTTATAGAACACGATGTAGCTACGAATCATATTACTAGATTGTCTTTTTTTGTTTACTAAAGTATACGGCTATACATGCGCATGCACAAGTAGAATATTGTAGCAGTGGGAAAGCAGGCTGATTGAAGTTTAACTCTGCCTTTAGCTGACCTATAAAGAATGATTCCTGATACTTTAATATCAGCAAACTGTTTTTACACCTTTACTTTTAATTATTTCTGTACTTAGGATACTTGATGAAATTTTTAGTTTCCATTAAATGGAAATACATGCTTGTTATTAGATGTTATATAATTTTTATAATTTTAACACGATACATAAGTACTTTATCAATCAATTATAATGAATAAAATATACAATTGACATTTACATGTACATGTACATGTATAAGCAGAGCATGTTTGAGTATTGATTCTAGTTCTCTGTTTGAAAATGGATTTTTATCAGTTTCTTTTGAATTTCACTACAGCGACAGTTAGGTTTAACTTAGAGGATTTCTTACTTCAATGATATTCGACATAAAATTATTTGAAGTTGCTAATGCAAGATATTTTGATGATTTATAATTGAACATAATTAGTTTCTTTACCGTTTAATCATCTTTTTAAAATATTTTTACTACTTTACACAACGTTTAAATTATCCGTATTACGCACATCTTAGACGCCATGATAATACTAGCCACATATACGTAAATATTTTTGCTACAAGAGATGAATACTGTTTGTTTAATAAACAATGTTTAATACGTACATTATAAAAATCGAGTAAAAGTCTATTAACTATTATTCAAAGCACACTAAAGAACAATAATATAAATATCCACAATTCCCCAAATTAAATTGTGTTGTACAAATTGAACGGGCATACTCTAGATGCCTTTCGTGTAGTAAATATGTTAATTTATGTTTTATAGGAACACCAGCTTATGATACAGTGCGACCCCTTGCATACAAAGATGCATCAGTTTTCCTTCTGTGTTTTTCTATTGGTGATCCAGGATCTCTGAGTAATACCACTTCCAGAGTAAGTAATTAGGGGAATTTTATTTCATATGCATTAAATGATCGATGAGCTACAGGTCCTCGTGTTGACATATTTTGACATACAAGGTTGTTATGAAGTCAGTATTGGCATTAGAAACAATCTATAGGACGAACATACGGCCAAAATATTTTGGTATGTGCAAAAGAGATCATGAAATTGCATTTCCACCCTATTCTGGAAATGACATTACAGGGTAACCCTATAGCAAATGTTCAAAGCTGCCACCATCGTTTTTATATACTGCATCCATACTGACCTGTATTGAATATTTTAGTAAGTACATATCCTTAAGAATTACACAAACTTTTGTTGCATCGTTCATTTGAGGAATGGTTACTGCATTATGGCTATAGACCTGTATCTTCAGAGAGCACGATAATCTAACCAGAAATTATAAAAGGTGAGGTCAGGGGAGCACGTTGGTCAGACATGATGGAAGGGACATCATCTAGCAGGAATGTCATTCTAAGCATATCCATGCTGTTAGAGTTCTGGTGAAACAAAAGTGTGAAACAAATAATGATAAAATTTTTCAGCCATTCAATATATTTCCAAGCCCTGGAATGTCTTTTTCTCAAAGGAAAATGGCCCAAAGATAAAGTGAGTGGTGAAACTACGTCTTTGAGGAATGCAAGGGTTGCTCTACTATTGCCTGTACAGTTCATTGGCTCAGACCACAAAATTATGGATATGACCAGTTTTCATTAAGATAGCTTTTATATGCGGAATCATCTGTTAACTGAGTTCTTACACAGATCTTAAAATATAACGTTGATATACGGAAACATCGACACATTTAGATCTGTAGATCTTGAAAGTCAAGTTATTCAAAACTTGAAAATAGCGTTGATAACTGGACCAATTGTTGGTTGAGATGTTGCAAAGGAAATATCTGCTGAAACTTTTCGCCAGACACTAATCATAG